TTAGGCGTGTCCCGCGCGCTCATATGACCTTATGCAGTTGCGAGCGCCGTAAAACACTTTACAAAAACAAACAAAAAAAACAGAAATAGACAATCATACAGACCAACCTGCATAGGTCAGCGAGCGCAGCAATATCCACCAGCACTATTTCTGGATTACAAGGGCTCTCTATCCACACCAGCTGAGGAACAAATGTTAGAACTTACCAACTGTTCTCAACGTGTGACTGTGTATCATTACAGTGTATCATGTAGCTTTTGAATAGAAATGACTTTTTTATGCTTCCTTTTCTTAACAGAGTGGGATCTATTGTTTCACCAGTATTTTAGAGAAATTCGCATTATGTATAAAAATACTATACTTTGTAAAATGTAACCAGTCTTCGGTACGAAAGGGCTAAATTCAGTCTTCTTTGTGAGAAAAACGAGACGGTATACTTTGTCATGTTAGTATTATTATGTACCGCGGTGATTTGACGCGTAGTTCACCAACACAGGCAGTCAAAAACACCTGATTAACCTGGAACTAAAAAGCTATAAGTGGCTCTGTTTAAAGTTGAATCATGTTGTTTTAAAGAAGGGCGTTTGAAAATGACTCATAGACTCTATTAATTAACAAAAATAACAAAGAGTTGCTTCGGTTTCGGATGGACTAGGCTTTTGATTCCCAATTCAGTTTTTGCTTTTTTTTTTCATTTATGATCTCTTTCTTTGGTGTTCAAGAAGAAAAATGACGCAGAATTCTGCAAATTATAAAACCCAGGAACACTTCGGTATTTTGTTAGAGCTGTTGTTTTTGAAGAGACGAGCAAACAGCAGTTATATTTTACCTGTAAAAAGAATACGAAACCAGAAACACAGAGTACAATTAATACACTTGTTCCAGATCAAGTATAAATTTACATGATTCAAATGAAGCATGACAGAGAATGTTTTCGACATAATCAATTCAGATTCAACATAGAAAGTTCAAACATCAAAATAGAGGGAGCACATTTTAATGTCCCACTAGGAAGCTCAATAAATACATGTATCGAAATAGCGGCAGGATATGTAACAATCTCTCTCTCTCTCTCTCTCTCTCTCTCTCTCTCTCTCTCTCTCTCTCTCTCTCTCTTGCCCTTTTTAAACTCCCAGTGGAGCACAGGCCACCAACAACATTACTCCAGCGAAGCCTGTCCTGAGAATCCTTTTCTATCTATGTAACAATAGGGAGTTCAAATTCAACAATAGGTTGTCCGACATGAGCTTGTGCACACCCGCCCTACCCCAGGCCCCCTCCTTCCCCATCCCTCCCTCTCTCAGAGGAGGGGTGGGAGGGGGGGTGCAAGTTCTCGGGATCATGTTGAACAACCTATTGCACTTTGAATATGTGAGGCAACGTGGTGGAATCAGGCTCTCGTCAAAACAATCAGAGTGAAGAAACTTGCTTTTTTCCTCAGGTTTGTGAATTTTTATCAAATCTTTGTTTTTTGAATCGACACCTTTCATGCCCATTAAGGAACTATTTCTATGTGGATTTTTTCTTAAAAAACGTTGATTAAAAGCACAAAAATGTACATTTTCAGTTACCACGGACTCTTAAGCTAAGGAAATAACTAATCTTTGGCGGCCATTCTCTCACTAATTTTACCTCTGAAAACAGGTGACCCCTCCTCCTTCATTCGCAAATATCTCGACTTGTATTCAAGACAAATGGAGATTTTTTTTCACCAATATCTCTACATGACCAAAAATTGACGAGAGCCTGATTCCACCACGCTGCCTCACATATTATATTATGGTCGCTTTTAAGCACAAGGGGGCTATCCCGAAAATGTGGTTTTGAGAGAATCGAAGGTAAAGTTTTTGGACCCTAGTTCAGTTTCTTTAAAGGACAAGGAGAGCTTTCTTTATAACCTAACAAATACCCACACCAATGAAACCAAAGTTCTGCTATACAAAGGGAAATGCCCACTTTTGGTGTATGTCAAGATTTCTGGAAACCCCCGACATCTGGGTTAGCCCGCTTGTCCTTAAAGGCGACCGTATACATTCATGTGTTGAGTTTGAATTGACAATGTTGAATTGGTCGCTTTTAAGGACAAGCAGGCTAGCCCACTTTTCGGGGATTTCCAGAAATCTTGACCTACACGAAAAGTGGGCATTGCCCTTCCTGTAGGAGAAGTTTAGTTTCACTGGTGTGTATATTTGTTTGGTAACAGAGAAAACTCTCATTTTCTTTAGGGGCAAAAAACTTTACTTTCTGTTTTCTAAAAACAGCATTTTTCGGGATAGCCCCTTAGTGCTTAAAAATTGACCAATTTCAACTGACAATGTTGCGTCTTCAGCGCTAGCATTTAATTACTCATATTTAAAGGTTTATGGATATGGACAAAGGGTGAGTGATTTACCTTTGTGTTGGGTTTCAGCAGTGGCGTCACGTTCTCCACGCTAGGGGTTCCCACAGTTGTCAGCTCCACTTGGAAGTGGTCACGCAGATGTTTCAAGGCCGTAGACGTGCCTGGGTAGGACGGGATCTGGAAAACCTGTGGGATAGACAGAAATTGCGCAAGTTTAGTCCGTGTTCGTTCTTACACTTACACTCTTTCTCCTCTCTCTCTCTCTCCCCA